GTGCCGTATCAGACCCGCCGTAAGCTCGAGGGACTGCGTACTGTCAAATCACTTTTATGCGTTTTTTGCATCTGTGCAATGTAAAAACGCATATTGTCGAAAGGTTGTCTGTGTGTGTTTGTGTCTCTGTATGTTCTTCTGTGCCGATTTTTCATCTCGAAACCTACAAAGTCTACAGGGCTCAAATTTTGGTAGCTTAATCTGCATGCGCGTACGGTCTCCCTTTTTCAAAATGTGTGCTTCCACTCACGTGGGTCTCATGTACGGCCCTATCAAAGTTTTTTTCGGGTAAGCTGCTAATTCGGGAACCAAAAAAGCTAGAAAGCTGAGGAGATGTTTCCCATTCTTAATGAGTTCCAACCCAGTTCCCAGGTATGCGTAGTTCCCACGTACGGACCCGTGAAAGTTTTTTGTGGGCAAGTTGCTAACTTGGGAACCAGGAAAGCAAGGAAACTAAGTGTTAAGGGAATGTTTTCTAACAGTCCTGGCAGCCAATCTCAATTCGTTTAGCTAAAAGCATTCGCCGGAAGAAACAGTGTCGTTAGCGATAATAATTACGGGGAATTATGCAAAAACGTATCTTCCCACCGGCAGTCGGTGCGCTGGTCATTTATTTCTTTAGTAAAGCTAGTAACTTGCTGAGATTGGAGAAGACGCAACATTGTTGTTTGTTGTGTTTTTGAGGAAAGCCTTTGGGAGTTCTCATCTTCTTCGGCCAAGTCGCATTCGATGAATTACTTGGAAAAAATGGAAAAAATAGAATTAATCTCTCGGGCGTGACCAAACTCAGCAACAGGGAGATGATAAATAAAAGCCCGAATCATAAAGGAATTTTTGCAGATGACTGCGCTTGTGGCGAAATTCGTTTCACGAGCTGTTGAGCGTTATCGCGAAGCGAAATTGCAGTACCCTTCTCAGGTCATCATCTATCGTTCAGGCTCCGCTGAGAGCCAATTTCAAATGGTAAACAGTGATTCTTTGTTTTATTCCATCCTTCTTTCCGAGCATTCAGTTGCATTTCAATTGATATGAGGTCACAATCTTGCAGATTGTTGATTATGAGGTGCCACTGATTCGACAGGCGCTTGAAAAATCACAGTGCGGCAAAACACCGCTAACATTGATTGTGGTGAACCGTGCACATCATATTCGCTTGATACCGCGAGAGGTACGGCATTTTTGATCTTTTCTGTTTAAATCTCTTTCACAGAATTCCGACCCAAACTTGTCAATGATAAGATACGACGAGGTCCGAACACTGTAGCCCCAACTATGTCGAGAAATATTATCCTAACCGACCGCCGAGATGGCCCTGATAATATTTGAATACTGCGATACCGAAAAAAAGCTTTTTCAGGCCAATGAAAGAGCGCGAGCAAGCGAACAGAACATCAAACCAGGCTGCGTTATAGACAGACATCTCGTCCATCCGCGTTACTGTGAATTTTATTTGAATTCCCACAAGGCACTTCAGGTCCCGTGTTTTTTCTCGTTTTTTTTCTAG